CTCCACCTTTCTTCCTGTGCCTGTTACTGCTGGCGTGTGTTTATTTACTCATTTTTATGTCTTTGGTTTCTGATCTTCCCCGATGTAATGTCAGCTCCACGAGGTGAGGGTTGTTTCTCATTCACCCCGGCATCACTAGCTTGAATGGTGTCTGGACGCTGTGGAGCCAGGAAATGAATAAATTGATTTTGTTCTTGAAAGAAATTACCTAGGGTATCTTCTAGACACTGTATCCTGTGTCTTTATGAACTGATCGTTCTGTTTCTGTCTCAGCCTCTTCAGAGTCCAGAAGGTATTTCAGGAAGGGAGATTTGCCTTTGTTTTATTATATCATGACTATTATCATTAAGGAGCCCCCCATAGTGTTTGAGATAGCAAATAAATACTAAATGTGTCTGTTATATAACACATAGTCCATTTTTCATTGCTAGAATACCTAAGGCAAGGTAGTGATAAATAAAAAAGGTTTATTTGGGCTGGGTGGCGGTGGTGCATGCCTTTAATCCCAGCACTTGCGAGGCAGAACCAGGTGGATCTCTGTGAGTTCGAGGCCAGCCTGGTCTACAGAGTGAGATCCACGACAGGCACCAAAACTACACAGAGAAACCCTGTCTCGAAAAACCAAAAAAAAAAAAAACAAAAAAAACAAAAAAAAAAACAAAAAACAAAACAAAACAAAAAAATTATTTGGGCTCACTAGTCTGGTAGTCCAAGGTCAAGGGCCAGCATCTGGTGACAGTCTTCTTAGGGGAAGGGTCCCGAGGCATCCCAGAGCATCATACTGCAGGAGACAGAGATCAATGTATGTGTGCTCTATAGAATTCAGTCCTGGAGAAGCCACCAAGATGGAGTCATGGAGTCTCCATTCTAAAGACCTCTTTGAATCCTAATTACCTCTCAAAAGTCCTGTCCGAACATACTGCGGCCCCTGGAGTTTCCACCCTCTTTAATACCTCATCATGGGGATTACAGTCTAACGCACGAAATAGGGCACACCCAGAGAAAAGCACCTAGGCCATATTTACTGTTTTCATTTTGTTCTTTGGGACAAGGTCTCACTGTGTAGCCTTGGTTGTCCTGGAACTCACTCTGTAGAGCAGGCTGGCCAAGAACTTACAGAGATCTGCCTGCCTCTGCCTCCGGAGTGCTGAGGTTGAAAGCGTGTGCCACCACTTATATTTACATCTTGACCAAAGGAGACAGGCCACGGTAGACACTCACTGGGACTGGGTTGGGGGTTCTGTGAGTCCAGGCAGGTGGGGAAGCCCAGACCCCATTCTGTCGGCAGGAACTGTCGCTTGCCCGCTTCTGTTTGAGAAACAGCACTTCTGGGAGCGAGGGAATCTTGCCTGCTTAGGGGTCTCTACTATTGGCTTTGGGGTCCTACTTCCGCCTCCACTATGGGAGACAGCAGGTCTACAGTCTGACACAGAAAGTACCGGGGGTTATTTAGACATTTCCAGTGACTGACACCAAGCACGCTTGTTCTCTCAGGATGCAAGTCCTTCCCGCACCTCTAATCTCTCCTGCTCTCACCCTCACAGAAACTATAACTTTTACTTCCACTTCTTCTTCTTCTTTTTTTTTTATTAGAAATTGATTATTTGTAGCCAGGTTCATTCTCAGGCCATTTTTTTTGTAAGGCTCAGCCCAAGTTCTCACAAGACTAAATCCGGAGCTCAGGGGGCTGCTGGTCCTCACTTCATTTTTAGTTTTCATAGAAAGAAGAAAACTGTCGGGTGACCTGGTGAAATGCAGATCGGCTGTGCTGTTCTGCCTGTTTATTTAGGAGACACCCTACGGAAAGACTGCGTTACTGACTCTCTAAGCTCCGGGCAGCGTGTTAGGTTCCTGCCTCTTGTAGGTGGTGCTTGGGGCAAAGCAGAGAAGGTGCAGAGCGAGCGTGGCTGGCGCAGAGCCTAACCGGGAGCTCCCGTTGGAGCCGCCAAGTCAAAGGGAGACACCACCTCACCGTCCCCTCTCCTTTCTGTCTCCCTTAGCTAATAAAAGACTGTTGGGGTCGGGGGCGGGCTAGATACAGTCTCCCATGGCCCGAGCTAGCCTTGGACTGGCTATGGAGCCAAGGATGACCTTGAACTCCTGATCCTCCTGCCTCCACCTGAGTGTGAGGATTACAAGTATGTGTCCCCACACCTGGTTTTAGGTGGTGTTGGGGTGTTGGGGATCATATATGCAGGGCAAGCACTCTCTCAAGCTGAGCTACGTCCCCGGGCCCTGACCCACCCTGTGCAGTGTGTATATGGGTCTGGTTCTAAACGATTGTTGTTGTTTTCTACCATCTCCCTGAGGGAGCTAACAAGGGTACAGATCACACCCGCATGGTCTCTCCAGAGAGAACACAAATAATGACTAAGCCCCCGAGAGTGTGCTCAGCACTACAGCTCTTAAAGGGACCCACGATGAGATTCCCTCACACCCAAGAGAACGACTCCTCGGAAAGATGAACACGTACGCGTTGGCAGGCGTAGGGAGGGAAGGAGGAATGCCGTACAGTGTTGGTGGGAATTAGTCCAACCACTTAGGAAAACAGTCGCTCAAAAGGCAGTGAGCATGGGACTCAGCAGTTTTACCTCTAGATGAGGACTCAAGAGAAAACATATTTCTACACAAATGCGCAAACAACCCAAATGTAAATCAACTGGTAGAAAAATGAGATATGTTTATATTGTGGAATAATTTTCATCCATAAAAAGAGAAAGACTTGTTTGTGGTATAATGTGAGGGAAGCTTGAACGCATCTTGCTAAGTTAAAAGAAGCCTGAAGCTAGAGTTTTCCTGCCTGGCCCACAGTCAGGACAAATCTCTGTCACCCGCCAGTCCCACGGCCGCTCAGACCCAACCAAGTAAACACAGAGACTTATATTGCTTACAAACTGTATGGC